ACTTCAAACGATGTTTCTTCGTCAGCAGGCGTCTGATCCACATTGAGTGTAAGCCTCATGCTTAAATATGGCAGAGCTCGTAAAGTTGATGTTTTTGAGTAGCAAGAAAACTGGCGTACAAATGGCAATTCTTGTGCATCGCTTAATGTTTTTGTGAATCCATATGTTGACAAATTACAGCAATGCAATAATAGAATTTCACTTTATTAGTTATCAGTTGGTGAATTAGTACAGTAATACAGAAATAATTAGAGCAGCATTACTTAAAAGAAAGTTCTTGCTCGCTGCTTGGCGTTGCAAAAATTGTTTTTTAGTTGTTGCTGCCATCTAGAATCTAGTTAGATGATTTCTTTCTGAGAGTTTCATAAAAATTTGTCCAGTGATTCTGGTGATAATTTGCTTACAGGCAGACAAATGCACATGGACTCAGACAATTACATAACGGTTCCCTTTTCATGACTGTATCAAGTATTTGATCTAATACACAATATCTTCTGAATGCAACAATATTAGTTTTATATTTCATTTGAATGAACCAAAATGAATAAACAAAAAGATTACGTATCTAAAGTGAAATTGTTAAAATGTGAGATTCAAAACACTTTGATGCAATTAATGTCTGGCTTTAAGCAAAAGGGCTAAAAGTGAGTCTATTTCTGATAGCAGTAAGATGCTAAAATCTTCATTGGCTTAGCTGTTTTCACAAAAGTGTCATAAATTCTCTATTTGTTATATATTACACAGTTTTCAAGGCGACTAAACTGTATGTAAAAGTGTGTATCACTAATAAAGGACTTGACTAGAAGTACTGCAGTACTTTAGTCATGTCTGTGAGGATGTAGGTACATTCACTGTGTGCATACAAATTAGAAAGCACTCTCTGCACACAATACTAGGACAAACAAATGTCAACTTATTAGCATTGCAACTAATTCAGTGATACCATACATGAATAGGTGATCTTGTCGGACTGTCACTGATCTCATCATGTAAGCAATCTTCTGGCTTCCTTAGATTAGTTTATTAGCTGGCATTTAAGTTTTCACTGAATCACTTGTAAAATTGGAAAATAGCATTCCTTGAAGAAATGCGTTTTGACCACCTCTTTGCATGGCAATGGTTTAATGAAGCTGTAATGCATTCTGTTAATGACTGGAGTACGTGCTGGTATAAATCTCAGCAACTACCACAGGATAGTAGCTCTAGCAGAGTATCTGTACTATTGACTGGCCTATAGCCCTTTTCAATTAGAATATATTTGAATTTAAATTGGACCTGTTTGTTTACATGTGCAGTGTTTTGAGCTAGTGTTTTCTTTGTGTTAACAACAACAACAAAAAGGTAATAAGCTGAAATTAATTTAATAAATTGAAAGGATTTGTAATAAAATTAATTGAATTAAACTGAATTGACTTGAATCAAATCAAATAAAAATTGAATTATATAGCCTGTGTGTCCTGGGTCTTCCCCAAGGTTTCCTCTGAGTCGGTCATGTCTGGAAACCTCCTCTGGGAGGTGCACATGGAGCATTCTTACCAGATTCCCAAACCCTCTCAATTGGCTCCTCTCGAGGTGTAGGAGCAGCAGCTGACTTTCTTCTGGATAATTGAACTTCTCACCCTATCTCCAAAGGAGAGCCTGGCTACCCTGCAGAGAAACTCCTTTTGACCGCCTGTATCCAAAGTCTCATTCTTTAGTCACTACCTAGAGTTTAACCATAGGTGATGGTAGGAATGTAGACCAGCAGGTAAATGGAGAGCTTTGTCTTGCAGTTCAAGTCCCTCTTCACCACAAAAGATCGGCACAAAGTCTGCAATACTGCCAGGCTGCACTAATCCATCCGTCAATCTCATGCGCCATTCTTCCCTCACTCGTGAACAAAACACAACCCACTTAGAGCAACCCCCTCTTTTCAGATTGTGAACCATTGCTTTAGATTTGGAGGTACTGATCCTCATCCCAGCCACTTCACACTTGACAGTGAACCACTCCAGTGAGATCTGGAGATCAAAGCATGATGATACCAACAGGACCAAATCATCCTTGAATAGTAGAGACAGGATCCTGGGTCCACCAAACCAGACTTCGTCTATCCCCTTGGCTGCACCTAGAAATTCTGTATGTAAATCTAAAAGAGATTAACAAGAAGCAAGATAACAAGAGTTAACAAGAAGAATCCGACCATAGGACCTGACAACTTTTTTGTTTACTTTTCCACCTGGATTATTGAGCATGCATCAAGATATCTGTCTGCAAATGTCATGAACAGAATAAGTAACAATGGGCAGCTCTGGCAGAGTCCAACTCCCACTCTAAATAGATCTGATTTGCTACCTGTAATGCAAACCAAATTCTTGCATCATTTGGATAGGGACTGACTGAATGGTCCGTAGCAATGGACCCCCAATCCCATACTCAAGGAGCCTCTCCCACAGTGTACCTCGAGGAACGCAGTCGAACGCCTTCTTCAAGTTAAAAAAAAACAACACATGTAGACTGGCTGGGAAAATTCCTGTGCACCCTCAAGGAACTTAATGAGTGTAAAGAGCAGGTCCAGTGTTCCACAACTGGAACAGAACCCACATTTTTACTCCTGAATTTGAGGTTCAACCATTGACCACTCTCTCTTCTCCAGGACCCCTACATAGACCTTACCAGGGAGGCTAAGGAGAGTAATACTCCTGTAACTGGAAGATATACAGTCCCCCATTTTAAAAAGGGGAGCCACCACTCCAGTCTGCCAATCCAGTAGCACTGCCCCTAATATCCTCGAGATGTTGCAAAGGAGTGTCAACCAAGACAGCCCAGCAGCAGAAGAGCTGGAGGAGGTGGCTGTGGAAAGAGATGTCTGGATCTCCCTGCTCAAGCTGCTGCTTTACTCTCGAAGAAGCTTAAGAGGGAGGGAGGATGGACGGACAGACAGATGGATGTGGACAGAAGAATGAACAGTCGGCTGGTCAAGTTAAACTTCTGCACTGTATCTTGGTTTATTTGCGTGAGCCGTAAATAACTTTTTATTTTATGTGATTTTTGAATTAGGAAAAAGTGGGGAGTTTTTGTTCAGTCACGGTTTTATTTTTTGTGTCTTTATTAATAAACCACAACAAACAGACTTTAGTTTGTAGTCTGAGTTACTGTTTGAACGACACTTTTGTTTTACTAAATACAATCTGTTACATTTTGTTCACTGGGTGTGTGGAAGTGTCAGCAGTGCTTTAAAGGCAGAATGAGCAGAACATGGGTAAAAGCAATTATGTCACATTTTTCAGGCCCATCTGTTTAGCTGTCTTTTGCTGACCTAGAAAAGGAGTGGAAATAAATTGCAAGAGACATCACTGGAAAAAAAAACAGACAAGTGAACGTTTTTATATCCTTTTTTTGTCTGTTAATAAAAAGGAATATAAAAATGTTCACTTGTCTGTTTTTTTATTTTTGTCTGTTAATAAAATATCTCATAAACAACTGGACTAATTTTAACAAAGCATTCAGAAATTATTCACTGGCTCAACAGGGACAACTTTTTGCAAATATTGAGCTAAAATGTAATGAGGATGTAGCTGAGCCTCATCATTGTGTGAAAACTTAAGAAGCATTTGTTTCTCTTCCCCCAGTTTTCAAGCTATTTCAACAAATCATATATCAAAATGTTCAGCTCTTTCAGGACAATCCTGTATGACTTTTGGTATTGGTGCAACTTTGCCTTTTTGAAATATTTAGCCTATTCTGCCATTTTTTTCTCATAGAAAATTAATTCAGCTCATTTCACATCCTTCAAATCTTTAGATCTGTTTACAGCCTTTTACTGCTCCTTTCACATTTTATTCTGATTCTGCTTCTTTCAGTTTTTATTTGTGCAAATTTAAAAAAAATTTCAGCCATTTTCAGCTCATTTAAGCTGTTTTGTGCCACTTTCAGATTCTTTCTGCTAACTACAACATTTTTGTGCTTCTTCTAACTTCTTTCTGTTAAATTCAGCTTGTTATGCTCCTTTCAGCTTATTTCTGCAAGTTGCAGCTTTTTCTACTATTTTAGCTACTATATAGCTGTTTTCAGTATAAACTTTGTCAGCTAATTCCACATTTTTTAACTCATTTAAACTTTTCTCAGCCTAATTCAGCAAAAATATGCTCTCTCTACTTCCTTCTTGTAATTTCAGCTTCTTTCTGCCATTTTAGTTACTTTTCAGCTGGTTTTTTGCTAATCTCGGCTTTTTTCAGATTTCTAATTCTTTTTTTGCTAATTTCTGCTTATTTCAGCCTAATTGGACAAACGTGTTCTTTCTGCTTATGCTAATTTAACCTTGTTCTACATTTTCAGCTACCTTTTTAGAAAAAGTTTAAGCTAATTTCAGTTGTTTTCAGATAAATTCTAGTTTTTCATGGTAAATTCTGCTACTTTCAGTCTAAATAAGTTATTTTTGTTAATTTCAGCTGGTATGCTAATTTCAGCTGTTTTCAGCTAGTTACAGCTTTTTTTTTTTTGCTATATTGGCTATTTAGCTGTTTCATGCTAATGTTAGCTTTTTCAGCTAATTCCACTTTTTTTTAGCTCATTTCAGCTCTTTCCACATCCTCTTTGTAGGTTAAGATTGTTTCTGCCTTTTGTCTACTTTTTAGATTTTTTTTTATTTTTTTTTTACTAATTTTAGCTTTTTTAGCTAATATCTTTATTTTTGTGCTCATTTCTTCTTATTTAAACCTAATTCAGTAAATGTGTGTTCTTTATGCTTTTCTGCAAATTTTGGCTTATTCTTTTATTTCAGCTTTTTTTCAGCAAGTTCTTCTGCAATAAGCATTCATGCTGCATTTTTGCAGGAAATGCAATTTCTCTAGTTAAATCATATTCCAAGCATAGAGGTAATTGAATATTTTTTAAATGCTAAATTATCTTCTAATGTGAAGAACTCTGAACACTGGTTTTCACAAAATATTTTATTGAACCCCGTCTTTCTTGTATTTTATTTAATTAATTAATTTATTTATTTATTTTGCCATGAGCAGTTGATGACCAAACAACCGTCCAAGCGTCTGGGCTGCGGTCCTGAGGGAGAGAGAGACATCAGAGAGCACGCCTTCTTCAGACGAATCGACTGGGAACGCCTCCAGAACAGAGAAATACAGCCACCCTTCAAGCCCAAAGTGGTAAGTCTGCACATTCAGAGAGCAAATGCACTGGAACAAAGACTAATTTATCTGGAAACCTTTTCAAGACAAAGTTGGTCTTTAAAATAAAAGTTACATGCCGTTAAGTCTTTTAGTTCCTCGATAAATTTATAAAAAGTAAAGTGAAACTGTAGTGAATATGGTTCTCACGTCACCTGACTTCTCTTTATCAGTAGCAATTAAAATGTCACTAAGCCTATTTTTATAGCACAATTTAAAGGGGAAAATATTAAATAATGATTAAAAAAACAATGACATAAACATACATTTTCTACAAAGTGAATAATTTTAAAACAGCAATAATCCACTGGCCACACTCCCATTTAGTTAAAAAGACAACACATCAACTAACGTATTTTTGTTTACTTTTTATATTTGTTATTTGTTCTTTTACTTAGTTTTTTTTATGTGAGAACAGGCCATTCCTGTTGAATTTTTTTTTTTTTAAAGCCTGAACAAATAATATTTAGTAAAATTCTGAAGCCTAAATATCAAAAGCATGGATCCCAAAACACCACCCACCCTAACTTAGTAATTGCATTTTTTTAAATGACAACAACAAAAATCCTATTCTTATTATTCTAGTAGTAAATAATGCAAAAACTTTTTTTTTTGTGTAGAAATACAGTTTGTTTCTTATATTTGTTCCCCTTAGTTTTCTTTTTATATGTATTGATTCAGTTACATAAACCATTTTTCCAAAGAAGAATCCTATAAATAGCTTACACCAGATATAACTGCAGTATAAATGTCCTCACCATGCTTTTAAAAATTGATAAAATACCAGCATGATGGTATTAGATATCTTATAAATACCTCGTTGTGAACTGTTTCTAAATATGGTATTTTTCAAAGATGTTACTATATAAAAGTATCTGCCTCATATAGGATGAATTAATGTCATCCGAAATAGCTGATGTAATATAACTGCAGTCCATGGCTGGAAATTTATCAGAGGTGACTGACAGTTCCAGGAATATATGTGAGGAGGAAACTCGCTCTCCAGCCCACTTTATACACATA